CTACCACCTGCCACCATTCTCTGGACATCGGTGTGACTGTGACTTGGTAAATTATCTTTTCTAAATCTTATTTTTCCTTCCAGGGGCATTTTCGTTTTAGGTTTAAGATCCTGCTCAGTGGCATTACGTGTCCAGGTATACTACTTATATCTCAAATTCTACAGTGTACAGCTATCAATATGTCATACTGGAGTATATTATCTCCCACCTAATGACTCTGCAGCTCCACCTCCATGCAGTGGGTCCAAGGGGTTAATGTTGTGAGGTCCTGAATTGGATCATCCTATAGACTGTGATTTCACTAGGTTGATCTGCTGATGGTGTCTGCAGTCTTATCCAGGGTTGATGTTACATGGGCTATTATCAGCTACTCTTGTTGCTCCATCTCTGTAGGGTTGGGCCATAGTGTAGAGTGATGTTGCACAGGGCAGCTTGGCAAGGCTTGTATTGGACATCCTACCAAAGTTATCTTTGGGTGGGGGCTGATCTCAACAATTATGATGTATGCATATGGGCAGTGATGCACACTGTTGAGATGGGATGTTCTACAAGATTGCTAGTAGGTTTTTATTATATATTTTCTTCTTTAATATGCCTGTTCTGGACTGTACAAAACCCATAAACTTACATGGGTAAAGCAGAAGGAGATAGCTGCCCATCCCTGCTGTCTGTTCAATTGAATAAATCAGGGCAGTTTGCTTTTCAAAATAGGGATTTTGGGGTCACCCTTTGCTCTTTCTGCAGTGTTGTTGGCTCTCCAAACTCTCCACCTTGTTTTCAACCCATTGTTCTAGTGGAGTAGGAAAGTCCTTACCACTTTCCAGTTCTGAGCCACTGGGGTGTTGGACCATGAAGGAGTTCTCCTGAATGTGATCCTTTCCCTTCAGTGGAGAGTAGAGCAGTGGTGATCTGCCAGTGTAGATGACATTTGATCCTCATATCATGCACTTCACATCTGTGTGGTGGGCCCTGGTAGTTGATGTTGTGCCCAGCTACTGTGTGGTTGTATTCGGGGAGTGAGTTTGCATATACTTAATAGAGGCGATCCACTTCCTTGCGGAGGGACCTGGTGGTTGGCATTGTGCTCCAGCTTTTATGTATTCCTATCCAGGGAATTACATTGTGTAATTGTGCTATTTCTCCATGTGATGGGTCCATTGCAGTTGATGCTGTATTGATCTTCTGTGTGGTTATATCCAAAGAGTGAGACTGTGTATCTTTTACAGAGGTGATCCACTTCTGTATGGTGGGACTCGAAGGTTGATGTTGTGCATTAGCTTCTGTGTGGTGAAGCTAATCAAGAGGATGTTGCTGCTTTCAAGTTGATCTATCACATTGCAGGTCACCTTTCTGATTGGGATACATTGTCCTACCATCACCTGAATGTCGGTTGTTGATGAGTTGTTGTGGATTGGAGTTGTACCAATCATTGTAAATTTTTGCATGTGTTGGTTGTGCTTCCTTATTCTACCTTATATCTCATAATCTCCACCTCCTTGTGGTGGGTCCCGGAGGTTGATGTTGCAGTCATGTGCTTCAACTTCCATGAGGTCCCATCCAGATGAGGTTTCTTGGGGCAATTGTTATCCCTCTGATGCTGCATCTACAGGAGTTTTATTACCTCAGGTGGATATTCCATGGTGTGGAACCAGTCCAATGAAGTTTGGATTTGTTATGAAATGCCACATTGACATATCTCTTCCTCTTATCATTTGGAGGTTGGGTTCCAGGATGACTGGTAGTGGTTGTAGATTTGTGCACATGTACCCTGTTTTGTAGATCAGTTGGGGATGTATATCCTTCTGTTCTGCTGAACTTGAGGTGAAGACAGTGTGGACCATCCTCCTACCATGGGTTGAAAGATTTATGCCCTATGCCACTTGGTTTTGGACTGGAGTTGACCCGCCACGTATGGTCCAATGAGCCCAAACCATTCTACACCATGGAGCATATCCTTTTTTCTTTTTCTTTTTTTGATGTGCTCCTCCTACTTTATGCCCATGTATATGACACCTTTTTCCACTCTGGGTAAAAAGTATACCTGATACAGAATTGGTGCAGTTTCCCATTTGTGTTCCTCTCCCAGTGGGGATCACATTTACAGGTGTTTTTTGGACACTTTTGAAGGATACTTTTCTATATCCTTCATACTGGTACCTTCACCTATTCAATGTGATATTCTAGCTATATGTGTGAGAAGAGGTAAGATACCATATAGGAAGTTATTATTTTCCTACACTGAAAACACTTGCCTCCTTTCACACTTCCCACCCTTCCATTACCACTTAAAACTTGTGCTTCCTTTCGGCCTAATCTCAAACTGATAGTTTGATAGAATCAAATAGAGCAAGTCACATGTGTCAGGAGGGTGTGTTGTGTTCCTATAGGTGGAGGGTTGTCATATGACAATTTACATGTGAAGATGCTGTGGACCATGTTAATCGTGGGATAAGTATGAGTTCAAGGCTTGTAGCAACACTTTTTTTTGCATATAGAGGACAGCACCGAATGAGAATAGCTATATGTGTGAAGGGAGCTAATTACCTATCAGAAATGTATTTTCAGTTTAGGAAAATAAAAACTTTTGGTTGATTTTAGGAATAGTTAAGTGTACATATTGGATAAAATTAGAAAAAAGTCACAAAATGATATTAATGTCATTAATGTTTTTTGGAAAGAAAACTGATCATCCATTCCCGAGTAAAAGTAGAACAGAATATAACAATAAAAGAAGTTTTTCAGAAATGTCTGTTTTTTTCTAAATATGTATCTACAAATGTGGAAAGGAATATTTGAAGTCTTTTTGAGTACTAGGAATGAAGCTTTACTGGATAGCACTTGTATCCAAATAAAAACCACTAGTATACATTATTCACATTATAGTTAGTTACTTTGGTAATTCTAATTTAAAGATTTGAAAGATGGTACCACTAAATGAAAAATATGTGGAGAAATAGAGGATGTTCCAAGTGGTTGCACTTGCATCTTCTAAGAAAAGTTTGCAATCAATATTTCTTTTAATTATTCTAACTAGCTCTTTTATTAGTTTGATTTAAGATCTCTTATTTAAAGAAATTAAGTGAATAGATTACCAGTTTGGCCATAATGATCAGCAGAAAGTTAAAACAAGTCTTAGAAGAATCAGCTATTTAAAAAAAGATTAAGGTTTTGAAAGAAATTTTTTAACTTGGGTTCATTTTTTAGGTTATTTGTGCTTGGGCTAACAGGTTATTTTTATTTTGGCCTTATGTGTCTTCACATTGTTATTCTGATAGCATAAAGTATTGATTTTTGTTTTAATGGGTAATGAGTACAAGGTAAGAGGAAAATATATGCACGTGTTTCATGAATTATCTTGTGAAGGTGTTAAAATGTATATCAAACCTCATTTAAATTTACACCACCAAGTCCACCTAACGTTGTCTCCAAAGAACCAACGTTTTCTAGTGAAACATTTTGCATGGTTAACTGTTGAGAGAGTGGCTAGATTGTATTATTTGATCGTTACCATTTACCACATGAGAATCTTTATGCATTGAATTTGTTTGCTGAAGATTTGCAGAAGTAGTAAATGAATGTTTTTATAGTACAGTAAATGTATTATTTAATAAGTACATCAATTATCTTTATTCTATATTGTAAAATTACAAATTGAAATACTTTGTATTTGTTAGAAGCATTAACAAGATTGTATAGATGTATATATTACACATACTTTGACTACTTGTTGGTGCTTAAATGAGCATTGCATTTTTAGTACTTGTAGGCACACAAGTGAAAAGGTGTTGGGGTGAGTACTTGGTTTTATCAGTTGCCATTGTGCTACAAAAATCTTAGGTATCTCACAGTCCTATACAAACTTGCTCGATTTTGACCTATGTTTAACAGTTTGAATTTCTCTTAGTATATAATCTTGAGAATATTCTTAAATTTTGAAAAAGTGTTTTCTTTTCACATGTATCCAAAGGTTACATTTATGCAGAATTATGCATTATATACATTAGAAATTTTAATAAAATCCAAAAAATAATTGCACTGCATTTCTAAAATGCAGGTATAACAAGAGCTACTGGTTTTTTATGTAATGCAATGTAAAAAACATTCCACTGCTTCAAGCATCCTTTATTTAAAAAGAAAACAAGTTGTTTGGTTACAAGGAGTAAATTAGCCAATAGAGGTGGTTTGAGTATTTTGTTAGACAAAGCCCCCAGATAAGAATTTCAACAGTTGTCTTGTAACAAAAATTCACTATTTGTTGGTATAGCGTAGCCTAAGACTTTTTTGTGGTTGATAGTTCAAAATTAGGGATGGTGAGAGAGAGCCTTTGTAGCTTTGCCATAAACAAACTTTCTTGTTTTCTTCATATTCGTTCCCTTATGGTATGCATGATTTCTAAAGTTATAATTATTAAAAGTTTTATATTAAAAAGTAAGTTGACATTATTCAGATTTTTATGTTGCTTAATTTTCAATTTAGGCTACTTGAATATCCAACATACTGGGTTTGAACTTTAGCTAATTATGCATTTGCCTATTGTATAAGATGAGTAATGATTTGTTTCCTTTGGTTTGTTAGAAATTGTTTGATTAATTGACTAGTTATAGACTACAGTACTTATGGCACTAACATTGTTGTAAACACATTTACATGTTTGTGTGTTTATGACAATGTTGGAGCCTTAATACTGAACTGTCTGGAATAACATGTTTAGAAAATTGTATACACAGGCATTTTAGGTGATGCATTACTTTTTTGTGTACTTTTGCATGTTAATTAATCTGAAATAATGTTACATTGGAGAACAGTTTATTTTGATACAATATGTAAAAAAAGTAGGTGTTACAGTTGAAAATGCAAATTTTTTATAAACTACATTTTTTATATGCTAGCATGACCACTGTATGTTTTATTGTTAACTAATAATTTTGTATGCTGGCAGGTTTTATCATTTAACCCATTTCACTGTAAAATATTTTAATTTTGTACCCTTTTTTTTGTAGGTTTATATAAACAGTGAAATTCCCCTTGCTGAGGTGATGTGTTTTAGAACTCCTGCATCTGCAGCCAAACATGGATAAGTGAGTAATATTCAGCATGGATGATTACCACCTGCTTGGCGGAGGAATGTATGAGATGAGTGGCAGTGGAGGAATGTTGGAGGATCCAAGTCGCATTGTTGGAGGGGTAGGATATGGACCTGGACCTTCCCAAAATGTTGCAGGATCAGGTATGATGTCATCACATTTATCACCTAACCAAGCACAAAGCCCAGGACAAATGATTAGCAGTGTAATGACGCAACAACCCCATGCTAATACAGAGGGTTACCAGATGGGAATTCAGCAAGTTTATCAACAAAATGAGTTGCCACAGAAGTTTCAACACTATAGTGGTTATGGAAATAGGATGTCAGGTATGGTAAATAACCAGTTCCCAAGTGGAGGAAGACTGCACCATATGAGTAACAACTCTATCCCAGCACCTGGGGACCAGGCACCACGTCCATTAACACCCTCTCAGATTGCAAATTATCAGCAAGGAAACATGCTGGCCACTCAGTATGCTCAGCACAGCCAGCAGCCTACGGGACCTTCAGTTAATCTTGGTCAAAGTGCATCACAGTATTCTGGCTATAGTCGAGGATCTGTGCCTCAACAACAACCACTTAGTCAGACTGGAGATATGTGGCAAGGAAGTATGGGACAGCAGCATGGGCATCAGTACATGCCCCAGGCTCCCTCCTACTCTCACCCTTCTCAGCCAGCACCCATGTCATCAATGCAGAGGTGCATGGGTCCAATGAGTAATGCATCTGTGTCCATGCAAGTCCCAAGATCATCAACTCCGAACCAGTATATGTCACGGCAGGAATTTTCAATGCACTCCCCAAATCAGACAACAACTGGTCAACACCCAGCTATTTACACTGCCCAACCTAGTCCTAATGGACCATATTTGAGTCAGATGCGTGTTGCCGTCTCTCAGCCTTTGTCTCACATTCCTGTAACACAGTCAGAGCAAGCTATGCCCTCATATTCAGCTCAGGGACCATACTCTGTTAATTCTCAACCAGGGGTCACAAGGCCTCGTTACTCTCCTTCCAGCAGCCTTAATGCTATCACTCCAGGGGACTCACCAGCCATAGGGCCCTTACCTGGTTCCAGACCTATGCAGAGGACAGGATATTCATCCTATTCTCATTTGAACTCGGGCCAGCAGCCCATTACCCCCATGCAGCCAGCTACACCTACTAGAATACAACAGTATCCACAACAGTCTTACTCTCCTAGCCAATCGTATCATCATCAATCATCACAGCACCAAGCATCCATACTTGGAAGCTCTAGCCCCTCACAGTTGTCACCTTATCCTCAAGCGCAACAACCACCTCAAGCTCCTAACAGTCCACAATTTCGCCCAGCTTTTCCCCCTTCACAAGTGTGTGTTTCTCCAAGACGACCAACACCGACACCCCCAGCAGGATCACCTATGTCCACTTCACATACACCTGAGAGGCTTCCTCATCCTCCTATGTCTACAACTCCACAGTCTCAGGGAAGCTATCCAAGCCCTTGTGCAAGTCATTTGTCCAGTCCTGGTCAAGGATTGTCACCAGGAGGAGGTAACAGTGGACCGTCCAGCAGTCTACAACAATTAGAGCAGATGGTCATACCCCACGTAGGTGGTTCTGGTTCATCTAAAGCATCGACACCAAATACTTGTGTGTCATCCTCAATAGCTGGCCACCATATTGGCTTAGTTGGTGCTTCTTACTACAACACTGTTGGTCAGTGTCAATCACAACAGCCACAGCAACAGATTAATTATCCATCAACTCCATCAGTATATTCCCAATCTCTTGTGTCACAACAGTATGGGCACCAACAATACATGGGGCAACCAGGTATACCTGTTTCCAATATGCCTGCTTCAGTAAACAGTGTAGTGGTTCATGTGCCAAATTCTCGACCAGTGAAGGCCTCTGGGCCCAATGTTATGAATGATGGTGTAAGGAGTGTTAGTGTACCACCGTCTGAAGTGTCGATGGCAACCAGTGTAACTTACAGCACAACCAGTAATGGAAATATTATGCATTCTTCACCTTCAGCACCTGAAATGTCCTATTCTTACACTCAAGGTGCTCCCGGAATTTCTTCAAATCATAGCTCGATCTCCTCCTCAGGCCCACAATCCTATTCTGCTTCCACTGCTTATGCTGAATGGAACAGACCATCAACGTATGAAGTTCATGGTATTCAACAGGAACTACAACATCTATACACTTTACCCCAGTCTCCTCAGAATCAACAAAAGGTATGAAACTTATTGAAAAGTGTAGTCAAAATATAAATTTTGTGATTAGTGTTACTAAACAACTTAGAAAATTGTTATTCATTTAATTTCATTTTCTATTTTAACAACAAAATAGTAGTCTATGGACACCTATTCATGAATGAAAAGTATACAAAAGTTTGATTTTAATTTTTCTAAAAATATCATGGATGATATATAAAGATACTATTAACAGGAAACTTTGTATCAGATTAATGTATTGAGTGTGTTGATATTTTAATTTCTTTTAGGTGAGCCATTAATTTCATCTTGGAATATTTGTTTTTAAGGAAAATTTTTTATCATATTTGCTCAAATAATGTAGTGGTAACTGATTTTGCCTTATTATTACTATTATTTGAAACACATCTAACATATTTCAAAAATACTAATCTTAGATAAAAAAAAAACACTATACGTTAATTTATCGTAATTTTTTTAGACCAGTTGATAATTTTTTCAGTAGACTTGTATTAAGTAGGAAAGGAGCTGAGACTATACAAATCTGAAAAATTTTGTATTGATAAAAATAGTAGAGATGGGTGATTACTGGTATTTGATAATCAGTTGATCAATAGGCTCATTGATTAATTACACCCCACTATACAAGGTAAAAAGAGAGAGAGAAAAAAGTGGGAGTAAACTGCCTTCATAACTTTTTTATTAATCTTCTTATTTTACAATGTTTTTTGAAGTAATTTTCAAATTACCCTTGGTTTCGTATCACAAAACTCTTTAAAGGTTGCCATTTGTGCATTTTGGGAAGACTTTTTCTTCTTCTAAAAAAATGTATTTCCACAATATACGGGTTTGGTTGATTTGACCGATCTGGTATTCATCATAAAAATTAGGAAATAGATACAAATTATGCTTTTTTTCATTCTAGAATGAAAGATGCACAATTTATGTTTATTTCCTAATTTTTTATGGGGGTTACAAGATTAATTACAGAAAATAAAAGATAAAATGTAAAGTTTTTTCTTAAGAAACATTTGATAACTATTTGGACATTATAAAGATTTTGCATGTGAAATTTCAAAATTTTCTGATGCATAAAATTATTTTTAATGTTAGTATGAAAATTACTTTGCATGATAGATAGGCAAGATAAACTGCCAACTTTTGTTAACACCCGCTTACTAATTTAAAAGTTATAGCATGAAAACTATAACAAGCACAAAATGGTTATGAGGTTGGTACCACGGACCGAGCCCAGGTTGAAAGGGTTAATCTAAATAAAATTTTCAGTATAATTAAGTTTCTTGTTTTAAATTATAATATTTTACTGTCATTTAATCACATTATCATGAAAAATTATAAAAGTCATCACAATCGTAATTATAAAATCCAAGTATTGCACCCTATCAACATTTGTGAAAAATAAGTCAAAAATTAGTGCAAGTCTATGCTTATGAATTATTATGAACAAGCACTTGTTAAAACAGACTGAATGTACAAATTATCTGTATGGAAGAGAATGTGTAATTGGGCTACATCCCAATACAACCTGAACAAGCATCGGTGCAGCATAGAACAGCAGATGTCAACTTAATTTGAGTGAGATCTTTAAGAAACTTTAATGTGTATTTTGTGTGTTTTTCTATTCTATGTTTTTAATCACTAATCAAATAAAATTAACCAAGCTACAAATATTTTGTATTCCAGAAAATCAAAGAAATGAGGCTAGTCTTGAACTGGCCAACTGACGATTTGAACTCACACCAGATCCAGCATGTTAAAACCCCAAATATCATGCAACACTTGAACTTTTGCAACCAAAATTAATTTCTGAGTGACAATTTCTCCAAAACATGTAAATTATTGTCTAGAACTGTAATGGCATAAGTATCTTGAGAAAATTTGGGGAGAAGAAAAACCATGGATAATCAAGACACTAATGTAGCCCCCATTTCCTGGTACAATCAATAGTTAAGTTAGGTTAGGCACACCTGGCTTCTAGATTGAAAGTATTTGATGAGGCCTGTTCTATATGGATATTATCCTCTTCGTCTTTTACCTCGGGTCCTTGTCATCATTCATGACACCCCTTTGTCAAATCTTTCTTTCTCTGCCCAGTATCCCCTCTTTTGCTTGAACCTCACAAATAATGTTTCATCAAGGTATATTGTCCCTGTATGCATTTTTATGTATGAGGTTTGTCTAGTCCTTTGCTATTGAGCTTGTCTTTCTGATCATATTGCCTTTTTCTTCTCTCATTCCTGTCACCTTCCTACATTGTTGGCTTCTCAATGTAAGTAGCATGTGTACATAGTAGGTCCATCTGCCATTCCTTTCCTCCTGGCTGGCTTGTGTAAAACATCTTTCTATTGACCATTTTTTGTTGGTCTCCACCATTGCTGGTTATTGGGCAGTGCTATTCAAAACATTTCACCTTTCCTAGTACTGAAGGATGTTTTCTTCCCCTGTTCTTTCCAAATTATCCTGATCTTCCCTTTCCTTAGTCTTCTCCTATACATTACTGGGACCTAAGTGTGGTTTTGCATGCTTTCATATGTAACCCATTTGAGTTGTTGACTTCTTACTCTTTATACCACTTTTTCTTAAAACTTATTATTTCCTTCTCCTCCTTAGACTGGTTGCCATCATTCAGATATCCATTTAACTGATTCTTCTTGTACTTTTTTCCATAATACTTGTATACTGCTCTATCCAGATCGGTCTTTCTTTTCACAGACTTCTGCCACTTGAGAAGTTGGTGGCACTTTCTCTGCTCTCTCTCTTCTACCTATCTCTCACTTCTACATTTAGTTAGACTAGGACTGTTTGATGTTACATATCATGTACTTCTCCCTTTTGGGTGTCCCCATCATCATCTTTTCATGATGCTAGACTGCTGTATAATGTATTATTTTGATAATTAAGAAACTGGTGTTTTTAAACTTGGACATCAATGAGATGTACACAGATCTGTCAGTTTCATAAATACTTGATCTTTTTGATACCTTAAAAATTAATTTCAATTATTCTTTCTGTATTTATTTATTTTTGCTGAAACTGTTTTGGCAGATATATTTGAGCATGGAAAAGTCACAAGTGGCTGTTATATAAGAACAGTTTGTGCTGCCATCTAGCAAACAAAAATGAAACTCTTATTTATGAAACATAGAAATAATATATGTTTATGAACCAAACTCAATGCTAAGTAGTAGTTTTCCTTATTATTATTTCCTCACAAAAATGTGTGGTAGAAGAACATAATAATATTACTGTTACACAAGCTGTGAAACACTTGATAATGGCAATTAGGTGCTCAAATAAGGTTATAACTGAACTTTAGCAGTTTAATATAAATTTCATAGACTAATAGATTGAATGTGGCAACCCATTTAGATGCTTTTCTGTCATATTAAAGCCATTGCAAAAATTACTCTTTTTGTAGCTAGCTTGGGAGAAGAAAAAAAGAACAGTTCTCAACCTTAGCAACACTTTTCAATGATACTGGGAGTCTGGCAAGCTGTGAAACTCTTGATTATGGCAATTAGGTGCTCAAATAAGGCTATAACTCAACTTTAGCAGTTATTTGTAAGCATGATAGAGTAATATATTGAATGCATCAGCCATTTTTTTTTCTTGACCCATCCCTACATACTAAGCACTACCTTGCTTAGTGATATCATAAGTAGTTGGGAGGTTTTCTTGAATTGTATTAGTGGAATAACTTTGTGTTTTATTATTTGTCAGTAAGGTACAGTATGCTATAAATGCTCTTATTCTTTATTTACTTTCTTTTATGCATAGAATTACATTAATGAGCCATAAACAAAATGTGTGGGAAAATGAGATAAAATTAAAAGTTTTCAACTTTGATTACAGAAGTTTTTGGTAAAAACTATAAACCTAAAAAGGTTGTGAAAAGATTATTTAAACTATCATGTGAATCTATCTTTTGTTTCTAGAAGCTTTTTTTTAAGGTCATCATTTTATGTGGGATATTTAGTGAACTTGTGTAAGCTCAGTAAAAATGTCTTTCAAAATGTGTTGGTTGATATTATAAAACTTCATTAATCTTGCTCTCATCTTTTTTGAAGACATTTTATTTTGTTCTCAGAAACACTTATTACAAAAATGCCATGTTCCTGTTTTGAGCTGTTATGACCTTTATCAAAAGTAAACAACTTGTGGGAATATTGGAATTTTTAATTTGTTCAAAAAAAATATCCAAATTGACTTAGTTTTGCAGCATTAGAATTCTAAATCTTTATTCAGTTAAATTTTGTAAAAAAATGTTGTTAACAGAGTTAATATACACTGTAAAATGCATAGAACATGGATTAAATCAAACTAATAAATTTTCTTACTACATAACCTAATTTTCACCAAAATATTTGTCTGGCACTGAAGGTGTGTGTGTTTGTTGGCAAGATTTGGACGAAAGTTGGTATATCTTTTTGGAAGGTCAAGGTCATAGCACCTTACAAAAAAATCCCTGTCTTTTAACATAGGGACTGATTTTTCACCCTATTTTTTATAACTCAGTAAAAAATTATCGGATTTTGATTGAACTTGATGGACATGTGTAGAGCATTATTCCTCGTTCTCCTGCCAAAAAATGGCCCATGTCAGTTGATAACAACAGATACATGAACGTATTTTCATATTTTTTTGAGCCATGTTGGATGTTACAGTTATTCGCTTTACTGAGTTCTTCATAAAATTGTAAGAATAAAATTTATTAAGATTTAAGTGGTTTCTTACACCTTTTAAACTAATCCATCTCTAAGAGCATGTGGCCATTTTGTGCTATCAAGGCCACCAGAACTTTTATATGAATTTCACTAAAATTTATCTTTGACTTATCTCTTTTAAGCTCAGTTGTTTTTGAAGATCATATAACGAATTTTTTAATAATTAGTCCTTTTTATTATCAATGAAATTTCACCCACACTTTTAAATATATCCCTTTTGTTTTAGAACATTTGTAGAGACCAAGTGGATATTAGCTATGTTTCCATTTTGTCTTT